GATAAGGAGGGATTAGAGAGGGAAAAAGGGAGACATTTGGGGGAGGGGGAGATGGAGGGTTAAAGAGGAGTGCAGTAGGGGGTGGGAGATGGGAGGAGGGAGGAAAAAGTGAAAGAATCAATAGGGTGGGGAGAGGAATGTAAAGATATAATGCTGAATTGTGGTTAGAGGATTATTAAGGCACTTAAAATTAAATCCTCGGGGGTGAAATTAACGAAAAGTAATATAGAATAAGTGAGTTAAGAAGATAAATATGATGTTAGTACTCGACACCGAGCTGATACTCGTAGCTTCTGTTAGGTCCCTGCCATCTTTGTTTCTTATCATACCAATTTTTGCCTGAAATTTACCTCCAATGTTTCTAATTTTCTGGAAGAGGTCTCTTGTCCTTCCTATTCTGTTGTCTTCTTCCACTTCCATGCATTGCTTATTTAAAAATATTTCCTTATCTCTTCTGTCTAACCTCTGGAATTGCGCACTGTGGACTCAAACAATGATGGATCTGGTCCAAACTCTACACGAATACTCAATATGCCCAAATGTGAACACTGGTGGAGTTTGGGGAAAATAGAATCTTGACATTTGGGAGTTGTAGTTGCTGGGATTTATAGTTCACCTACAATCACAGAGCTCCCCCTGGGCACACAGAAGACTGGGCGACTTGGAAGGCGCTGAACAGACTGCGCTCTGGCACCACGAGATGCAGAGCCAATCTTAAGAAATGGGGCTACAAAATGGAATCCACGACATGCGAGTGTGGAGAAGAGCAAACCACAGACCACCTGCTGCAATGCAACCTGAGCCCTGCCACATGCACAATGGAGGACCTTCTTGCGCAACACCAGAGGCACTCCAAGTGGCCAGCTACTGGTCAAAGGACATTTAATCAACTACCAAGCTTGCAAATTTTGTGTGTTGTCTGTCTGTTTGTTTTGTTCTGTTAGAAATGTAATACAATTGTCTGGGTGCCTGACACGATAAATAAATAAATACAGAGCATTCTGAACCCCACCAACGATAGAATTGGGCCAAACCTCCCACACAGAACTCCCATGTTGGCCACAGCAATGCGTGGCAGGGGACGGCTAATAATAATAATAATAATTTGAATAGAAACAACTGGAAAAGCTGACACGATATCAGGATTTAAAGATCGAACTGCAAAGACTCTTGCACAAGCCAGTAAAGGTTGTCCCAGTTGTGATCAGCACACTGGGTGCAGTACCTAAAGACCTTGGCCTGCACTTAAATACAATCGGCGCTGACAAAATTACCATCTGCCGCTGCAAAAGGCCACCTTACTGGGATCTGCATGGATTATTCGCCGATACATCACACAGTCCTAGACACTTGGGAAGTGTCCGACGTGTGATCCGATACAACAGCCAGCAGAATGATCTTGTTTGCGGTGGACTCATCTTGTTGTGTTTCAAATAATCATCATCATCATCATCATCATCATCATCATCATCATCATCATCTATATAAATAAAAATGTAATGTTTGTTTGTGGGTTTAACTCAACTTGTTTGTGGGATTTTAACTCAAAAACCACTAGACACAAATTTGGCCGCAAGACACCTACTAGCCTAAGGAGTGACCATCACTCAAAAAAATGATTTTGTCAGTTGGGAGTTGTAGTTGCTGGAACTTATAGTTTACTTAAAATTAAAGAGCATTCTGAACTCCACTAATGATGGAATTGAACCAAACGTGGCACACAGGACTCCCATGACCAACAGAAAATACTGGAAGGGTTTGGTGGGCATTGACCTTGAGTTTGGGAGTTGTAGTTCACCTACATCCAAAGAGCACTGTGGACTCAAACAATGATGGATCTGGACCAAACTTGGCACAAATATTCCATATGCCCAAATATGAACACAGATGGAGTTTGGGGGAAATAGACCTTGACATTTGGGATTTGTAGTTACTGGGATTTATAGTTCACCTATCCTGCAGACAAGAGTCCTTTGTCCCACCCTGGTCATTCCACAGATATATAAACCCATTTTCCTAGTTCCAACAGACCTCACTACCTCTGAGGATGCTTGCCATAGATGCAGGCGAAACGTCAGGAGAGAATGCCTCTAGACCATGGCCATATAGCCCAAAAAAACCTACAACAACCCAGTGATTCCGGCCATGAAAGCCTTCAACAATACTTTCTAATTACTTTATTTTCCAGATCACCAGACTGCATGGCAAGGGTTGGCTAATAATAATAATAATAATAGGGCTAAGTTTCTGAACCACTGTTAAAAAAATCAAATGGCAAGAAGGCAATATTTTGAAGGTACACCTGTTCTGGGTTTCTGCCTCAGATCACTTCCAAAACTCCTAAGTCAGTGGTTCTCAACCTGGGGGTCGGGACCCTGAGGGGAGTCGCGAGGGGGTGTCAGAGGGGTCGCCAAAGACCATCAGAAAGCACAGTATTTTCTGTTGGTCATGGGGGTTCTGTGAGGGAAGTCTGACCCAATTCTATCGTTGGTGAGGTTCAGAATATTCTTTGATTGTAGGTGAACTATACATCCCAGCAACTACAATTCCCAAATGTCAAGGTCTATTTCCCCCAAACTCTACTAGTGTTCACATTTGGGCATATTGAGTATTTGTGCCAAGTTTGGTCCAGATCCATCATTGTTTGAGTCCACACGGCTCTAAGATATAGGTGAACTACAACTCCCAAACTCGAGGTCAGTGCCCACCAAACCCTTCCAGTATTTTCTCTTGGTCATGGGAGTTATGTGTGCCAAGTCTGGTTCAATTCCATCATTGGTGGAGTCCAGAATGCTCTTTGACTGTAGGTGAACTATACATCCGAGCAACTACAACTCCCAAATGACAAAATCAATCCCCCCACCAGTATTCAAATTTGGGTATTCAAATAGTTCACCTACAATCAGGTATGTGTGCCAAATTTGGTCCAGTGAATGCAAATACATCCTGTATATCAGATATTCATATGACAATACATAACAGTTGCAAAATTACAGTTATGAAGTAGCAAGGGAAATAATGTTATGGTTGGGGGTCAACACAACATGAGGAACTGTACAACACAACATGAGGAACTCCACCAATTATGGAATTGAACCAAAGGTGGCACACAGGACTCCCATGACCAACAGAAAACACTAGAAGGGTTTGGTGGGCATTGACCTTGAGTTTGGGAATTGTAGTTCACCCACATCCAGATCCATCAAACAATGATGGATCTGGACCAAACTTGACACAAAAATTCCCTATGCCTAAATATGAACAGAGATGAAGTTTACGGGAAATAGACCTTGTCATTTGGGAGTTTTAGTTTTTGGGATTTATAGTTCACCTACAAACAAAGAGCATTCCGAATTCCACC